CATTGTGAAAGACGGTACGACAAGAAAATAGGGATATCCGAATGAGAATATTATCATATAATGAACTAAGGGAACAATAATTTATAAGCCGTAAAGATTAAAAACCGTCACATAATTTAAGGAAAATAAGTATCGATAAAACTAGGGCCGTGGCATACACAAGTATCTGCTTCTAGGCTCGAAATATATTTAAGTAAATATCTGTCAAAAAATTAAGTCCCGATTTTATATATAATTTCAAGCGATAAAACATTCTGTGTAGTAGTATGTGCCTCAAAGTGGAGATTAAATGTTTGTCCTTGAGATTTAGTAAGGCGCAAATTGAGAACCTAGTCTGTAATTCTGGATAAATGTGCTTAGACATATTGTTTTCACATATATTCTACATCCTGTCTGGTTTATATCAACGTGAACCCCAGAAAAAGAACCCAGTCTTATAAGACACATGAATTTTGCAAGGAGTACTTAAGAAGTTGATTTCTTGATAGTCAGAAGGGCCCAATTATCCGTTTAGCGATAGAATGATACATGGAACCCATCATATATAATATTCTTTCTGTATTTTGATGTGACTAATCCTCTTTCGTTCCAGAATCTGTGTGTAGTCCATCGATAATCCCAATTTTGTTCTTGCCCGCATCAATTACAAAACTTTACCGTTACCTAAAAGTACTTTCAACAGCTTCTTAAAACATCGTATAATCAGTCGAGGCACAAAGCTTCACGATTTTTGCCCATGCTTATATCAAGTAATCAGAGCTTTTTTATCACGTATGACAATATCAGAAAACTACGGAACTGTAACTTTTTTCTCCTACACGAACGGTTACATACAAATCGGCTATCAGTTCACTGACTTTAACAGAAAGTAGTGTTTTGCATTTGACGTCATCTGTGATTAATGAGGAAGACGTTTAAGTTTGCAGAGTACGCTACTCACACAACTGAGACAATTAAATCTCCATAGATGTAAAAAAAAATATAATTTTAATCTAACCATTAAACCGAACTCTATATTAAAAAACAAGGATATTGATGCAATTAAATAACCAATTTCACATTCTGAGTTGAATGATTCCATATTGTTTTTTTTCCATATTCTTCTCTATTTGGGATTATAACAATAATCCTACCAAGAATAAAACGAGCAAACTTCTGTTATTTTCAACATAGCGAATTCTTTAAGAAAATTGGCCATTAAAACAAGATCCATCTCCCAAAAGCAAACTACTATCTCCGTAAGTTTGATAAGTGGACCGATATTAACCATCTGTTCCCATTTGTTTCAAGTTAACGATAATGCCTTCAGCTTCGCTATATTAAAGGTCAGTGTCAATTCACCTTTTATTTATGTGAAGATATAAACATTGGTACGAAGGGGGACGCTACAAAATAAAATTGAGGTTGTGAAAAGATAGAGAAAGGAAATATAATAAAAGGGAACAGTGAATAGGGAAGTGTGTGAGAGTGGAATGATAATAATAATAAATGGAAGAAGCATTTCAGTTGGGAAAAATACAACCACAATGAATTCTTTCAGTTAAAGAAGTTACTCTAACTTTTATGAAGGAATTTATAGCAGGATCATTACCAGCTTTCATTCTTAGCCAGTGTGATGTACCATCTTCTAGGACCGTAACTAGGAAGTCGTGAATGATCAACAGAAGAAAATCTTAAACAGCCGTTTTTCAAACCACAACCCCATGTCAAGTACTGATCACCTCTCTTTTCCGAACCAGTCCCAGCATCGACAAATAATGCACGATGTAGAATCTGCTAAGACGACTTTCGCAAGACATATTCAAACCATCGAAATCGATATTTCAAAGTAACCAAACTAATTGGATTATCGTCGTCGTCCTCGGATACACATTGCGGAACTCTGTATTACTAACGTGATATTGTCACTGGAATCCAGGAGTCCGTCGTGAACAAAGATGATCAAACACTGAGTCATCTGGTGTCCCCAGTTCGGAAAACTAGATTTCACAAGCACAGAGGAAAATTGCTCTCACTGACGCAGTGTAGATCCGACCTTTTACAGCCAGACCAACTTTGTGAAGGCGCCAAAGACCGTCCAGATTGGCATAAGCCGATCTGACTCTCACTATACGCGAATTGATCTCATTATTCTTGACACCACCGGCACTTACACAGCTACCCAGATACACGGATTTTCATGCTACTTCTATCTGCTCACTACCAAGAGTGAGTGAAGGTTCAGAGTTTTGCAAAAGTACTTTCTGCTTAGGTGCAAAGCACATGCCATACCTATGAACACTGATTAAGTGCAGATTGCATGGCTTGGGTATCGTCGTATAGCAAGACAATATCATCCACATACTCAAGATAGAAGTATTTTCCTAGACAACAGATCCACACTACCATCTGGATCCGTCACCGATGAAATTTAGAAAGGAATGGTGAGACTGAGCAACTTTGACTAACCACAATTTGTCGAAATAATCTGTTTAGGGAGATGAATTTGTTCGCTACTGAAACGTAAGATAAGATTAGCGCAAACAAAGGTGTGATCAGAGTCTAGATAAGTATTTCAGAATGAGTGGAAGTACTGTACACAGCCACGCCAGCGGTAGCTGATCACGATGTGATCAATATGAGTACAGGTCAGAGATACAGAAGGAGAATGCCAAGTGGCAAGGACAAGGTACAAGGAAGCACCAAATACATATGTGCCACACAAGTCAAATTCGATATGTGTGAGGGCTGTGATACTTCCCGGGTGCCCAGACCGAAACAGGTGGTTTTCTTAGAGGGCCAAACCCCGAGCCTTCGACCTGAAGGTCTGACCCACAAAGCAGTGGAGCATCGTAAGGAGATGCAGTCCCATGGAAGCCGGTGACCAACAATTGGTTCATACGCCATTTGTTCCCGCAGGATACTGGAGCCCATGTGCACCATTGGTTTGGAATCCGGTTAAAGCGCCGGACATTCGCTTTTCGTCCTCTCATTTTTCGTAAACAACACCCTCGCCACGAGAAAGCAATGAGTAGGACTTCCCTGGCAGAGGCTATATACGCGTGTCCATGTGAGAGCATTTCAAGAGGGAGAGCGGACTCTCCCCACTCACGGCCATACCAGGGCATTATATGCCAAGTGGCACATCGGCAATGACTGTGACGATAGTTAGCGCTAGCCAGAAACAGATTGTGGTCTGAGAAAAGTCGCAGTAGATGACCACTGTTATCTGAAGTAAGACCATTGACCACCCAAACGACTCCTGTGACTAGACACCCGAACTGAAATTTCCGACTGGTACTACAATATCTGTCGAACGCACTTTACGTAAAAGAACACTTAAATGGTAGTAAAACTCGTCCTAGATCGCATCTGGGTTGCAGTTTGTCGATGGGTAGACGGAGATGGCGAAAAGACATCCTATCTCACACATAATTTTTCCACACTTTGATGGAGCTTCCTAATCTAACAGCACATAACCGACTGTCAAAGGAGATCCGATCGATTTGTGCTGTCTCAGCTGTAAAGCTTAGTGTGACACAAGAGCCAGCAAAACCAGACTAAGATGCCACAGCGTCCTTGATTAAACGCACGTGAAACCATTTCTCGAAGAGGAAATTTGTAGTACTTAACTAGAGCCTTGAACACAGGTCTCTGATAGACAGCAGACATCGATGTTGAGAACTTCTAAAGGCGTACCCAACCCTGTCTGTTATCCGGTCTCCATTAGTGTGCGAACGTTGGAGGCCAGTTTGAATGGCACACGTGGTTTCAGAAAGGCTGGTTCAGAATTCGTATTCATTGGTAGCGCTCAAGTTTCAACCAGTCAATAACTTGAGATCGTTTAGATCGGACAAGGTTTCCGCCATAGACAAGCTGCTACAGAAGTTGAAGAATATAGGTTTTTGTGGCCTGTTGATAGGACTCCAATTTGACCATATGATGATGATAACGAAGTATACAACTTGGCCACCTTTGTATATAATTATCGACTTCATTCGCGTCAAATAATGAAATAAAATATACGAAATACAATAAAAAAATTCTGAATACGTATATTACATACAATCGTTGATCCAGGCAGACAATCAGTGAAACGAAGCAGATCAAGCATGACTCAATATTTATGAACGGACAAAAATAAGCTAAAGAAATGTGATGAATAGGGCAAGAGATTGACACACACGACCATATAAAAGCAGTCAAGGTTACAAGTGGATAAGTGACAAGGTCAAAATGTGACTCGAGAATAAATAAAATGGTCTGTCCGGAAGCTAGAATAACCCACATGGGATTGACATAGTACTGGACACAAGGCAGTGGAGGAACGTCAGGAAATGCAGTTCCATGGTGACTGGTGACCAGCAATAGGTTCATATGCCATTCGTTTTATCAGGATCCTGGAGCCTATGTGCACCACTGGTTTGGAATAAGTTTTCCAACTCCCCTAGGTAAATGCTCCGTACGTACTAACCCGGCTAAAGCGCCGGATATCAGCTTTCCGTCCTTTCAATTATGTAAAAAAACACCCCCGTCTGTATGAGGCACTGAGTAGGACTTCCCTGACAGTGGCTGTTTACACGTGACCATATGAGAGCATTTCGAGAGGGAGAGTGAGCTGTTCTTGCCCTCAGCCACACCAGGGCACTAAGGATTGCTCGTGGATATCAATCAGGTGAATCGTAGCACTAAGGTACATGAACTGTTAATAATTTTCCTATCCGTCTTTCTCAGTATTAATTTTACTAACCTTGTGCTTTTTGACTTTAGTTCACTTGGTAAGACTAGACAGCTATCTACTGTTACCTGTCATTGTCGTATCATGCTCTTATTGCCAAACATTGGGTTTGGAGCTGGCCGGAATGAGTACTCAAGAGTCCAGTAATATAAAAGGTACTACAACATATGACTTTTCTTACCGTTTGCTAGCCTCTGCTAAAACCCCTTACTGTCAACTTTGTATGAGACTTAAAATCATCAGACGAACGATCACCGTTATCTGTCTGTAAGAAAAGAATTCCTACTTTTTCTAACTTTATTAATTGTGCACCAAAGTTGCTAAGGTAAAAGGTAGTAAAATTATATCCCCGTCATATCACAGTAAATTTTTTAGTTTATTTAATAATTTAATGTATTTGATGATGAAATAGATCGAGAATTATAAACAATAAAATGAATAAGCGCACGATAGTCCTCCTGAATGGTCTCTGTCAATGAAATCAACGAATGTTCTATGTGCAAAGAAGCAGGGTATTTAGCTTAGTTATGGAGCACTACGAGTCCAATATACCTCCTTTGTAGAAATACAAAACACTTCGGTACCCAAAATTAACCATAAACTTAATCACGACAGATTATATACTAATATAACCCTCATTATGCCAACGATGGATTGACTGAGACCGGCAAATCACAACGCACATGCTGTGCAAACCGATAAGCTAGTAAAAAAAAAGACAAAGTAGGAATAATTAAATAACAAATATTTCAAAACTGACATTTTAACAATAACTTACTGAATACCAATACCCAAGACTTATTAAGTCAGTAGCTATCATGATATTGTAATACCCCAAACAAATTCTTTCCCGCAACCACCCCCTTTTAGAAATAGCATAGTGTTCACACTGAAACTGAGAATCATATATTTCTAAAGTGTTAGCGCTAGTTCTTTAGACGGTAGTACTTCGTAAGAATAGTAAGACCTTCAATTTTGCTCGGACTTTTAGAAACTAGCAGTGACCGGAATCTTAAAAACTTCACAGCTGGATTTTCAGGGGTGCTAGGCTTACAGAAATCTTGTCAAACACCGACCAAAGATTAGTTCAAATATAAGTTTTACCATTGGTCTGCAAATATAAATAAATTGAAGCCTGTTACTAAGGTAAAGTTATTCTTTTACTTAGACAATAACAGAAAATGAAAAAAAGCTAACTGCAATAATTTATATTCCATATATACCAAGCAATTCTCTAGATAGAGAAATCTAATCAACTAGCTTCAAACATTTGCTCCAGAAGACCGAGATCATACACTAATTGATGAAATCAATTACTTGAACTTTGGGCTTCATGAGCTTCTTAGTTAATATCCAAAAGAAAATTATAGCTCCTGACAAAGATTTTGAGTGATGAGGCTTATAAACAAAAATAAATAACTTTATTTATGATCTTCCTACAAATTTAGAACATCCTACTATTCTATATTTTTCATTTTTGCTCTCACTTCTAGCTGTTCTTTCAGTTTTCTTTTGCTTTTTGATGTTCACAAAACGAACGATAACAGTGAAAACTATAACCGATAAATATTTGCACGATATCTGACTGTTTTGGTACTGAGATTGAAAACCTGACCTGATAACCAGAATTCAACTTAACTAGATTATCGACGACTTTTAATTGTATGTGATCTGTTTATTCACATATTTTTTCTACGTATCACTTAAGATATTAGATTGATTTCACGCTTCAGTCTGGCTCTGCAAAGCTTTATTTCATTCTATTGTTTTGCAAGTTTACATACCATATCAACATACATAGTAACTAAATATACGTAACATGTGTATGCCACCAATCTCAGTAAGATGAAGACCCACAATCTGACCAACTAATTTTCTACCCCCACCAAGTACTCTGCGTCTAGCTTCAACATAACTCTGTGGTTCCACCACGCGAGTAATAGTTCGAAAACACCCATGATCAAATACCAGTAACCTACAAATCCAATCTACTTTCAAAGGCCACAGTTCACAACCATAAAGTAAGACAGCCAATTGCTATATAGAATACTTTTGCCCTGATTAGTACACAGAGATATCGCCTAAGCCACGGGCGATGGCAAGGTGGGAAAACCAAAACTCTTGTTTCGATACCTGCCGACGTTTCATCAAACACCAATTGAACATGGTTGATATAAATTCCAAGATGATAATTACACATCATTTATTTTTTATTTATTTTAACACGTAGATATTGGTACAAGAAGGCACCAAATACATATGTGCCGCGCAAATCTCATTTGATTTGTGCAAGGGCTGTGGTACTGCCCAGGTGCCCAAACCGAAACAGGTGGTTTTCTTAGGGGGCCACGCCTCGAGCCTAGACTACCTATCAAAACAAATAAAACTACTAAATAAACTCATTCACCAGGCACTTGGGGTGTGAGGTGCACTTTAGGTGTACAGGCTGACGGGATGCCAATCACTACTATCCATCGACGTCTTGGACGATGGGCAGTTCAACTGGCCTGTTGCTCCGGCAACATCCATCAGACTGTCCTGCCTTCCATGGCCGGTGACGACTGATCCACCAAATGAGGCGGAAGTCCGCAAGGAACTCCAACTCTTAAAGCGCTACGAACCACCGGGCCCAGATGACTTACCGCCAGCTCTTTTTGGAAATGGTGGTGACTTTCTGGTAAGGAACTGACAACGTTGTTTACAAAGGTCTGGGAGCTAGAGAGTGTTCCAACATCATGGAACGAGTTGATAGTTGTCCCTATCTTTAAAAAGGGTTCACGTCGTTCCTGTAACAACTATCGGGGGATAAGTCTACTTCCGATTGCGACAAAACTGTTGGCTTCCGTCATACTTCATAGATCGTTCAAAACCCGAGATTGACTAGCGAGGAGCACGCTGGTTTTCGTTCTGCCCCCAAATGCACTGGACGACTGAGAGTGGGGAGAGCCCGCTCACCCTCTCGAAATGATCTCACATAGCCACGCGTATATAGCCTCTGCCAGGGAAGTCCTACTCACTGCTTTCTCGTGGCGAGGGTGTTGTTTACGAAATTGAGAGGACAGAAAGCGAACGTCCGGCGCTTTAACCGGGTTGGTGGACATGGAGAGTCTACATAGGGGAGTTGGAAAACCCTGATTTCAAACCAATGGTGCACATGGGCTTTAGTATCCTGAGGGAAAAAATGGCCTATGAACCAATTGTTGGTCACCGGCTTCCATGGGACTGCATCTCCTTACGATGCTCCACTGCCTTGTGGATCAGGCCTTCAGGTCGAAGGCTCGGGGTTTGGCCCTCTAAGAAAACCACCTGTTTCGGTTTGGGCACCTGGGCAGTACCACAGCTCTTGCACAAATCAAATGAGATTTGTGTGGCACATATGTATTTGGTGCCTCCTTGTACCAATATCTATGTGTTAAGATAAAATAAATAAATCTGGTCGAGGATGTATTGATCATATCTTTACCGTCCGCCAAATATTAGAACACCGTCACACTTATCACAGGTCAACAATAGTAGTGTTTCTTGACATTGGGGCTGCCTTCGATTCGTTGGATAGGACTGTCCTTTGGGATTGTCTATTAAAGAAGGGTGTGCCTGAGAAGTTCATTAACATCCGAAAAGCCCTATATACAAACACCTCAGGCAGAGTGAGGGCATACAACCACCTTTCTCCATTGTTCCATTCAAGCAGTGGGGTTAGATAGGGCGCGAACCAAACTTTTGGACAGAAAACTAAACGCCTTAAACCACTAAGCCACAGCTCTAAAAAGATAAGTGATATCACGTAATTTCCCTTATATTGATTTGATAAAGGGGACAAACAGTTTACGCAAAGATGGAATTGAGTGAAGTCCTAACAAAATGACCTTAACATAAACATTCTAATGGTCAAATAAAAAGCTAAAGGATATGAGCTTGGGTTTATTTAATCGCCTGCGTATTTTGAAAGCGAAACAAGCTGAACCTATGAAAATTTTCCTATATTGTGTCCCGGCCCTTATTATCACCTTTGAAAGTTTTTAAGTATCTATTGATATAAGATAAATAAATCTAGGATAAATCAAAATACGAAGCATTATAGATCTAAACAGAATGTAAGATTCCGAGAGATAAGTATCTTACAACACTCAGTTTAAGAATTTTATTCATAGCAGTATGTACTCCTTACAAAATTAATCTATACATCCCCATTAGTTTTGACGTAGTCACAAGTAACGTTGGATCTGGCAGTGTGCATTCGAAAGGACAAGATGACAGTGATGCCAAATAACTGACATGTTAAGCAATAAATTCTTTTATGCTATATTAAAAACTATTGATAGTCAAATCCAAATAAACTTTAAAAGAAGTTCAGAAGATGAACTAACCTGCAACAAGAAAAAGGTACATGCAGATCCAATGACATAACCCAAATATCTTTTAACTTCACGTTCCAAGAAACTGAGGCAACCATACTGATGATAGATGCACTCTTTATCGCTAAACGATTCTTCTAACTGACGATTTTTACAACAACTTTGAGGATAACTGCTATTATTGTAAAATTCCCAATCTGATCGATTTTCCACTCCGCAACACTCAAACTAAAATACAGGATGAATTTACAAAACTTCAGTTTACGTTTGACTGGATTAAATCGACAATCTGTCGAACTTCATCAACTTTATTATACATCCTCAGATCTTCATGAAGAACTTCACTTATTTGTTCTCTAACCTAGGAACGATAAATAATTTCAAAAATATGCATTACTTTTGGCCAGTAAAATATAGAAACGATTATAACAGCCATTTCACACAGTAAAATAGTGAGCAACAATGCGTACAACAACACAAGTAGACAGCGATTATGTTTGATGCAGGCTATGAAACCAATCACTCCAGCACACAGAAGCAATAAACCTGTGCCAAGCACAATATAACCAGGAAATTGTAAGTTTGTTACAGTCACAGCGTGTTTGTAACGCGCAGCAATTACAAGTATGCTCCCCCCAACAGTTATAAGTATCACTGAAGCGACCTGAATCGAAAAAATGAAACTAATTCACAAAGACTTACCAAAATCAATGCATATGACACGGCCGTAATGCATTTAGATAAACCATCAAGAATCGCCATTGTGAGTAGCTAGTTTTTTAATAAGAAAGTTTGATAGCTCCAAATTCCTAGATAATTAGAAACGGTACAGATTAAACTACACAGAAGATTGAACCTGTCAAGAAAGTAGGGTCGAATAAAAAATAACAGGAACTAAGTGGTTTGAAGTCGGATGCTGTGATTACCAAGTTTAGCTAATTAATAATGGGGATCATTTTGTGTATTTCGAACCAGTCAACCACCTCTGATGACTAGTTTCAACATTATGGGTGATATGTTACCAACACAACAACAAAAATAGATAAGCCTTATCGGCACAAGCCATTATTAGAGAAAATACGTAATTCCTGTGTTTTTTTAACTGACAGTCTGAACTTCAGTCACCTACCGCTGTGGAACGGTGACTTGATAGTGGAAGCAATGAACATTTTAGCTCCTTGTTTATTGCAGTTTGATTGGTTGGGTAGTATCATCAACCGTCACACCAAAACGGTAGTCCGATTCTAATTATACGAACTTGTATTCGGTTACTAAAACGCATTGCTGGCGCGGATTTATTTGAATGAGGACTAAGAACAGTTGGTGCATAGGGTTTACTTGATTAAAAATTAGTACTACAACTAAGGAACATTTGTTCAGCAGTAAAAACTTATATATAGCATCATAAGGTCGAAAGTTATTCAAATCCAGTGAATCTCAACAGCATTATTCGGATTCAGTCATATGTGAAGACTCGTTCTGAACAACCGAGATAAAGTCCGCAGAAATAAGAACGATTAGGAGATTATGAAACGATTAACAGCAGAGGCGAATAACATAACATATGGACAGGGAATTGAATAGTTATAAGTCTATAACCGTCTATATTTGGTAAACAGACTGACACAAAGAGTAATATGATCAGATGATAGCAACCGATGGTTAGAGACTCTAAATGACATGGCTCAAAATCGTTTGCAATGGCGCAGGTGCATACACTCTATGTGTTCTCCCAAATTCTAATCTCCTGATTTTTCCTTGTCTCTTTTTTTCTCTTCCCAAATTTATTTCACTGGATTATACTCTTCAAATAACATCTCCAAACCCTAATCTTTCGGATTACTGCTTATACTCTTACTACCTCTACCACTACGGGATTTGAATCGACAACTGCATCCCTGTGCTAATGTGGTATGGCAACTCGAACTGATGTACGTACGTACAAAGTTATACGTTGTTACTGGCTGACTGAATACGATCAGTGTGACTATTACCGATGCAGACGGCACTCCACATCTCAGAAGACCAAAACGTTTGACAAGGCAAACTGAAGCGATTCAACTTCTATGCACTTGCGATCTATATCCCTGTGATACAACAATCTGGCTGCGGTTTTGTCTTTTCAATTTCAACTGAAGTATATAAGGCTACGACAAATATCAGAAATAGAAAAAAAGCAAGACATAAGAATTTGACTTCACATCTCTTTAAAGACGGAAATTATGTTGATGTTTACAATTTCGTGCAATTGGCTGAAAAATCAGGTTTCAAACGACTCAAAGTAGCCGGAATGAAATATAACATTGGCTGCTGAAGGATGTGACTATCAGTCTGAGTTGTGTAGCAAGGTATGAGCTTACTGTGAGATGTCGCTGTGGTGATAGAAACCAATAGTTAGAGACCTTGGGTGAAATGCCCTACAGTGAGTTGTTTTGTAGGATTAAGAATAATATGCAGGTTAATTCTGGGATTAACTTTAACTTTTGCTTTGGAGGAGGTCAATGATGAACTTGATACCATTACTTCTAAGGTTTCAATACATGATTGCACAATAGGTGATTTGGAATTTCAATTTGTTTACTTTATCATTTTTAAACTTATTCGATAGTCTGCGAGATAATTATTTTTAGAGGCAGCAAAGTGGTAAACCATATTACAACCTAAGTCATCGTTTAAGGGGTGTAAGTATAAGACCACTCCCATTTCTATGGCTAAACAGCGATTCAATGTTATTTGCTTTTCATAGGATAGATTGAAAAGTCTAGTTACTGAGTTAGTACTTACTAATCTAATCACCAAAAATAATGACGATATCTATAGTGAAACTTAGATTGGCTGCCGGAATGTAATGCTCCATATTGTTCAATTTTTTGGGATAAAAATCTGAATATGAACTTATAAAAACACGAGGTCGGACACACCAGCTGCACTTGCAAAGCCTTGTTGTTTACAAGTCATGATATGCACTTTTATGCTAGAGAACTGAGAGGCTCACCAATTTTGTAGGAAACCAAATTCTGAGTGTTTGATTGATAAATGGTTAGCAACTTAACTGAGTAAATCAAGCTGGAGCACTCTAGGGTTACTCACAGTTCCAAGCTTAGATAAAGGAGGGAGGCTGGGAGTAGGACTTGCAACCTCAACTCTTAAGTTAAACCTAGATTGAACAAAAGCTGATCACAAAAAATCATTTAAAACATTCATACTCCCACCCTATAGGAGTTGAAGGGTCTTCATCAATAGCAGTTATGATGCCTTGTGGTGAAAAATGATATTCTTCAGTAGTCACGAAGCCGATAGAGTAACAATTAATATAGATAAATTGAATGTCTGGAAAACGTGGGAAACCAGAGGGGTAGCGAAAATGAAATACAACCTAGCAGTGCTATCAGTCAGCTACAACGTAGGACCAGGCACATATGTGCATCGGTCCAGGTTGCCATACCGCATCAGCACAACAAGATGAACACCGGATTCATAACAGTGGTTAGGTAAAAGGTGGTAATATATAAGAGAAAGATTGCATATAGAGATATAGTACAAGAAGAAAGAATTGGTTCGTAGAAAGAAAGATATGAAGCGATTTTAATCTCTTAGTTTAAGGGAAGACAGGGAGTGTATACACCGACGCCATTGTGATCGATTCTGAGCCATGTCACCAAGAGTCTCCAACCATCGGTTACGATAGTCACGCGGACCCCAACCAAGTAGTTTGCATCTACCAACATGGCTCAGACTAGAAGTTAGTGACTTCAAGCACTGATGCCACGTTTTGGTTTGGCCGCCCATAACTTTCTTCCAACCATTTCCAATACCGGATAGCATTGCACGTCGTGATAATCGGTGTTCAGGCATACGTAACACGTGGCCCAACCATCTCAGTCGATGAAGATTCATAACCTCATCAACTGATTTACCATCATTTTCTAATACCCTGCGTCTAACCTCACTATTACTTACCCGGTTATCCCAGCAGACGCCAGCAATATTTCTAAGGCATCTGTGGTCAAATAGCAGTGCTATAAATAAGTGTAACCCACTGAACACAATCTGGATAGAAAAAGACTAACTTCAGGAGAGCTGTCGTGTTACAGACACGATGACAAAGTTTCCCGACCTACACAAAAAGGTGCACTGATGTTCTACCAAGCATGAAAAGCACTTATAGGAAGAAATACCCCGGAAAATACGTCTATTCTGATGGGGGACCAAGACACCAAGCTTAGCATGGATAACACTAAGTATTAGGACATCATGAGACGACATAGACTGAGAGAAAGGAGCAAAAATAGTGAGAAACTGGCAGATCTGTGTACATTTGGCATATTCATAAATGCTGTCGTTTCCCTTCACAAACGTATACACAAAGCCACATGGATTTCATCGAAACACACTACAACAAACCAGATCAATCAGATATGCACCGACAAACAACTCAGAAGGCCCAAAGGAAGCATAAGAACAAGACGAGGAGTTGACACAGTTTTAGATCACCACCTAGCGGCTAAGCTAAAGAAGCAATAAACAATCGAACAAGCAGCACTGTAAAAGTTTAATATGGACCTAACTCAAGATGTTAACAAGAATAACGAGTTTAAGAAGCAAGTTCTAAGCCTCATAAAACATACTAGAAGAAACCACTGTGGAGAACAACAGACGACCGGGTTGGGGATCGTGTGATTATAGTAACCAATGGTTAGAGAGTTTAAATGACATTGTTAAAAATCAATCATAATGTCGCGATTGCATGCACTTTGTACTACCTTAGATCTTACGCTTTTAACTTATTCATGGTTTTTTCCTTCCTATTTCAGTGATTTTATATCTCAGATAGTATCTTCAAGGTCTGGTCTTTTTGTTATCACTAATACTGCTACAAATTCTCCCACTTCAGGATTCGCCCTGGCATTTTCATCTTGCTCTGCTAGTAGGATGTAGTAACAAGAATTGTTGTAGAAATGCGCCAGGTTCTATGTTGGGTTTGGCTGACTATGAAGAACTGGGAAGAGATTGTGGAAGCAATAATTTCACAGTGTCATTTGCTATGTTAAGCCCACATAGCTTGTTCTAACTTCCGGACAAGCTAATTTACCCTTTCTCCTCGAGTCACATTATTCGCTTATCAGCTTCGAATGTTTTCGTATATGAGCAATTGTGTGCGCACTTCCTATCCAGTATAAATTATATACGAGGATTGGCGATGTGTTTATTCCAACAATAATCAATCGTGCGATATTGCTGTATTCGGATATCTGGCCACTAAAACTTTAATACCTCACGAGGTGTTGGGTCTCAAGAAGCACCAGAACAAACAGTTGGTCTCCAGAAAATCTTGGAAAGATTCAAGAAAGGAAAATAAGACGCCAGTCAACAAAAGCCGATTTAGGTGGAGTTTTGTTATTTGAGTCGAACAAGCACAAAGGAAGTTAAGGTACAGGCCCGATATATGGGAGCAAACAAATAAGTGATGAAGAGCATTAGAGCTGGCGAGCGTAAATATGTAGAAAACTAATCAACTTCAGCAGAATAATTATCCTGTTGTATCTTAAGGTAGAACATCAGGAAATATGAAGAGACCATATGACATATTCAAGCAGTTTGCGGTAGAATACAGTAAACCAGAGCAATCAATCTAGACTGAAGGAAGGAAACCAATCAGTAAGCGTCAAGAGGAGTGAAACAAATGGGTAGAACACCTTAAAGAGCTCTTACATAGACCAGACCAACTGAACTCACCAAATACGGAAGTAGCATACACCTTATCATAGATGATATCCTACCAAAAACAAAAATTATAAAAAGATGCTTGCGAAGGTTTTTCTATTATTCACATTTTCTTCATCAATTTCCATAAGTTTTGTAATTACCATTATCGAGTGTAAAATTGTTGTTTGAAAAAACCACGACCTTTGGTCTTTGATCACCTCATACCGTGACACATTTATAACAACTCATGAATACACTGTTTCACAAATAAACCATTCTAGCTGTAAACAGATCAATTAATTGATTGTTCTCAAGCCACATTTCGACCTTGCCACTTATTGGCTTACTAACCCCAACTGTTTTTATATGATCGTATGTGTGTTAAATGATTGAGCTATTCATTACGTGCCTGTAATTTATTTTTTGGCCGAATATAAATATTGGGTGACGCTTAATTAAATTTACTTAGCTGAATGTCAAACAGTTCACCGGTCCTCGTCAAGTTCAAGGGCAAGCGACGCGCATAAATTAAACACACCTCGTGAACTGACCTATGCAGTGGTGGTCACTCTCTCTTCCTTGTATCGACTCTTAACAATATATCTCTTCAATAACGTTCTTTGTGTTATACGAACTTCAAAACAACCATAATGCCTTGATAGGAAAAAAAGATAATCCACGTTAGGCACTAGCCATGAAGTGTAACTTTGACGTCAGCTGGTTGATCATACCATTCCCGTTTAACCCAAGTAGGACCCTCCGTGCCGAGGTTTGTTCTATCGAAAAAAAGCATTGAACTTCTCAAAATGACCTCAAGCTTTGGGAAGTTATCCTAATATTCATCTCAATCATAGGCACTCCCAAACTCCTCGACGGAGCTCGTCACAAAAAAAATATATATCCAGATCACGAAAGACGGATGACCCTGAATGGTTCCGGTATCACAATCAGTACGGAAAATATTCTTCAAAGTGCAGAAAACCTTGCAGTTTCCCGCGATTCAGACTATCAGAGATGAGAAACGCGTCGGGAAACTTTCCAGTTGGTACACCTTGACGGCAACCGTAGCCGGCCAACATAGTCGTATGTTAAACGTCGCAGATGTGATAATGAAACTTCGCTAATTCATCCACACTGGCACAGAAGTGCGTGTTCTTTCAGTAGATTCGGACGTCCGACTATACAAAGCAGTTTACAAATTACAGATGGCTAATGGGAAACCGATCGCCACATATGTTAGGCGGTATATGTACCTTTACGTGGATTTGCGCAAATCCACTCACTGGTTCATCATTTTTGCAGATTTTTCTATCCCAATCATTGAAACAGACGTGCCACAACATCATAATCTAATCATCGACACGAGCAGATAGCGGTTAGTAGACAGAAATTCTAACTTGTCTGTTGGTGTGACTAAATTTCTAGTTGTGGATTGTCTTCGTCACAGTTAATCACACGATCGATCCATACTACCAACAAATAGTCCCTAAGTAGTCCGAGATATACGAAACCAGCAATGTTACACATCACATCACGATCACAGGACCACCTTTATTTTCTAAAGTGCGCCAACTAGCTCACGTAAATCTGGGGTTGACGGGAAACGAAGTCAAGTACATGATAGGCTTAGGGACTATTGGACACTATTGGACTACTGGTCACACCCATGATTTGACAGCCACCTTGAAATGTACTACTGTTTTTCAAAAGTCGACTGGGTTAAGGGATATAGTTGAATTTTCATGGCTTCTGGAGACATTCCTAAAACCGCTATTATCACATCTGACGAATTTTCAGCGTAATAAATGCTTCACAAACTTCCCAGGGATTCATCGATGTCGTATTTTGAGGTCTCTACTTCGTACATGTGCATGTTGATGACTATTTGATCTCAAGTCTGGAGAGAGAATCTCATATCCAGCAACCGGACCTCGTTTTCGGGAGACTGCGAAAACACTACATTAACGCAAGGATTATTATTATTAATATTATTATTATTCACAAGCATCTTATGGATACATAAGTGTTGGGAAGGAACCATTTTGGGTTTCTTCAAAAATGCAATGATACATAAGTTGCAATAATGTTAGCATTATATTTGCCATATTTGAAAAAGTGAGTATTACTTGTAGAATAATAATAATAAATCAGGTTCTGTGTAATTGAGAAGAATATTGGATTGAATTTAAGGAAGGAAAGGAATGAAATAGGGAAATAGAAATAAAAAAGACGTAAAATACACGAATAGTTTAATAGGCGTGTTTATGAACATAGAACAAGGATAAACGACTATGTATGTACCGTCAAAATGGTAACAAAAACTAAATAGAAAATAGTTAAGGAAAAATAACTTATTATTGCAGTATGATATGACGCTAGAATAAGTGTTTGTGCAGTCATAGTTTGGAGTGATGCTATGAAAGTCTTAATTAAGTTAAAAAGATAACCAAATATCAATATGTATGAGTCATATATACGTAGTGAAGATAAAACTAGTCTGAGAAGTTAATTTAAGTATAGCGAAAAACTTCGTTATCTTAAGAACAACATTTACTTGGAAGAAAAAAAAGAGAGAGAAAAGAAATGAACACCTAGTGAAAGGGTTAAATCATGATAATAATAACAATAATAATAATTTTGTAATGGATATCGATCTCTGAAGTAAACCTCCGATTTAAAAAATAAAATGAAACAAGATAAAAAAAATCCTTCACTGCGCTCGGATGTAGATCTATATAATGGTATACAGAGTGAAACCGGATGTTAATATCAACATTTGTGCAATAATAATTAAGAATGATACTGTGAAAGTCACAATTAATTGCAAAGGACAATGAAATATAAATTTATATGTGTTGTATTTATGTGATAATAAAACGAAACTGAGAAGTTGTTTTATTTAAGTGTACCGTGAGATGATTTGTTTTTAGCTATAGACTTTGGATGTTTAGGAATAATATATGTTTAGAAGGATAAGAAGAGATGAAAAGAATATCTTATGTGTCAAGGGACAGATAATGATGTTATTATCAGTAGTAATCGGAGATACGAACATAAGCAGACTTCAAATACTAGGATGAATAAAAAATAGACGTGAAAAGTTTTGAAGGTTACACTTTTCCTTCCAATCAGTTAGATAGATGGCGGACCTTGTTTGTACAAATCATTATTAAATACATTGATATTCAATAGGTGACACAATCCACTTCCTGAAAGAAAATCATCAAGGAGAATTCTGAACTGGGTTGTAGTTTCACTGCAACGGAGGTTCAATGGCAGTCTGTTCCACATGATTGAGTAGCGAATAACGAAAAAATTCTGGAGTACGTTTGTGTGGGTTGTTGGAATCACTAGAATATTTTCCTTATTGCCTAGATTTTTGGATGATATCATAGCGTATGAAGGAGTGGATACCGAAGAGTTGGAAATACCGTTAATTTCTGTTAACTCAAATACCGTATTTTAAAATGGGCGAGATACAGTTTCTGTACAATAATAATAACCTCGATTCGTTATTATTGAGGTTTAACATTGTGAATCCGATGAGCCTACAAGATTTGGATACCTGAGAGGCAATGTGCTCAGAAGAGCTCAAACTGTTTCTATATCTCGAACCCAAGTCAGAAAAAGTGTTGAGAGGTTTGAGTGTATGGTTGTGTATAGTCAGATTTAAGTTAATGCAGCGGTCAATGTGAATAAATACACTTTTGTCAATATTAAGTGGCAAATTCCATTAAAGAGTCCATTCGTATAACTTGTTTATTTCTTCTTGGATTACCGACGAAATATAGTTTACTTTGGTAAGAGAAAAAATGTATAAACCACTTTTAGGTCATCGACAAAAAGTAGAGGTATACCATACTTAAAGAAGGAACTCACGTCATTGATGAAATAGACAAAGAGTAGTGGACTAATCACACTTCCTTGTATAACCCCACTGGTATCATTGACAGGTTGAGAATAGCAAGATCCAAAGTGAACGATTCGGCTACGTACTTTTACAAAAGATATGAGTCAAGATAAAAGGGAGTTCTGTAAGCGAAATGAAGAGTTTTAGAAGAAGAAGTTTGGGTGAGACACTGTCGAAAACCTTGAAGATGGCACAGTTATTCAGTGTTTGACAACGCTTTTACCAGTAACACTTTCCAACATAACTCGCACCCACCAAGTGAAATCAAAAGACAGAATCGAGGAGATCAGAAGCTGTATTTGATGATTGCCAATATATCGGAATTGTCTGATCTAGTCTAGCTAGCGATTGCAGTAGATGTTGAGCACGGCGTTCGCATACGTAATCTGGTGCGGATGCATGACCGAGCGCCTTCAGCTAGGTGAGTCCACTAAAACTAATTTGGTTAGCACCCAACGTCGATTTATTTACCGCTACAGATCACTCCCTCCCTAATGGGGTAGTGATGACCTTAAGACGTGGCCAGCCAGAAGTTTAAACCCAACGAGTTTTGTCGTTGGTAAACACTCTTCTTATAGCTTTCTAGATTTAGCAGCGTCTGATCGTCTTTCCTTACTATATGGGACCGAGGTACAACATAATGAAAAAAGAAAAAGTACAATGAAAATTTCGGTTCCTCGTAAACTGCATCGTTCTTGTCCAGCCGTCCTGGAAAAGAAAAATGAAAATGTAAATGCATGTCGAAATACACTCGTATGTGCGTAAAAACACGGTGCGGGCGGAAAAATGGAGAATAAACTCATGCACACGTAATAGCGTTAAAAAAGAATTTTTATAATGTTTTTTTTCGTTTTGTTTTTGAAACAAAATTATAAATATATAAGCATATTAAAAGTCTTAAAAAATATATATAATACATGTGGTGAAAATAAACATCGAGATAATATAAAATGTCAAGTAGTACCTTACGTACAATAATCGTTTAAATGTTCTGGAAATCTTACTCTTCTTCCAGAACGCGTCGTCTTGAGTTCATTTTCAGATACATTCGAAGTATCATCGCGTGTGTTGGTCGTCGGTTGAGGAATTATGAGTGTACAAGTCATGTTGTGCGACTGTACCGAAGGAAAGTTGACGTGAATAGGATTTCCTTCTAAATATCCTGCTTTTAAGCGATCGATGCTGATGCCATCGTTTGTTCCGTTCCAATCGACTATATAATACTTAGATTCACGTTGAAGAACTTCGAAAGGTCCCTCGTATGCCGATTCGAATGGTCGTCGATGTGAGTCTCGACGAACGAAGACGTGTGTACTATATCGTAAGTCAGGTTGAACGAAAACATCGGTTGATTGTAGTCGAGTGGAAGCAGTTTTAACTGAACGCATTGCGTTCCTAAGCCTGTTCGT